GTAGCCAATGTTGCTGCTAAGCCACCAGCTATAATGCTGGCATCCCATAAGGGTCAGTTTGCGTCCCAGCTGCTCCACTTCTGATCCAGCTCCCTGGTAATGGCCTGTGAAAATCAGCAGAAAATTAATATCAGAAATGACCCCCTAAAATTACATATGAAAATGTTTCCCCTCAAAGTTCCCCAGAGGTCGAGTCTGGGGTGCCACATATGTTACCGGAATTTGGGGTGCCAGATGATATCACCATATGCTTATTAATAAATCCCCAATAGTAATATGCCCTAGAGGGTTCTTGCCTAATATTTAGAGAAGAATTCTAAATACTGGCATAAATGAATGAGGCAGCATGGTATGTTTTAAGCTTTTATGTAGTGTGAAAGATGCATAGGACAGTAAAGGCTTTAGTTCAGTTTAAGGAGAAGGGAAAATCTGGATTCATACTGAGTACCAGGAACCAGCCATGTAGAAGAGCATCTAGGCCAGGAAGCCTAGGGTGGGTGGCCTGAAGGCCACATGCCCTGGGGGTGCAGGGCTTCAGCCAGCCCCCTCCTGGCTAGAGGCCAGGGCAAAGAAGAGAGAGGACACACCCTGTTCCAGGCTTTTAACCCACTTCCAAAGGGGAGTGGTTAATTAACCTGATTGGCCAGTGGGCACTCATGTGTGGCCAGGTAGGGGCATCAGGTCACACAGGGGTGTTGTGAAGGTATCAGGTAGGGGCGTGGTGAAGACGTGGTCTTCCAGCTCACAAACCAAATCGATTTTAACCTGTATGCCTACTTCACAAGTGTTTGGGACACTGCCACTCACATGAGAGACCCAATGAAGCTCCTGGTTCTTGGCTTTAGTAGTCTTGCCCAGCTCTGGCCATTGCAGCCATCTGGGGAGTGAACTTGCAGATAGATGGTATCTGTCTATCTCAATCTCTATCTCGATCCCACCCCCATAATTCAGACTTTCAAATAAATAAAATTCTTCAAATTTTTTTCAAAAAGAAATAGACACGAACCACTTAAACTTTCATAAGGTAAGCAAGAGGCTTACCGCACTCATACATTTAGGACCTAAGATATTGTACTGACTGAAAAAAGCAAAGTACATAAGAAAATTATACTTTGTGGTGTTTCTTAAGGCATATATGTTGTTTTCTAAATTTCTGAAGTATAATCATGAGCATTATTATATGTAAATATTTTTAACTTCTGGTAATTAATAGAGAAGAGGAAGTATGGTGGGGTAAACTTTTTATTCTCCATAATCTCTCCTTGATATTATCAGAAGCTTATAATTTTTTTGCTTGCCTTTTTCTGGAATTCAACTTTTAAGAAATTATGAAAATTCAAGAACCACTCTGAGAACCTCCACCACCAATGCTTGCAATCAGATATCTCTACAGCAGAGGGTGAGGTAGACACAAAGTGGAAAATGCAAAGTGAGTTGATCTACCTCTCTCAGGCTGTGGCTTCACTGCCCACCTTTAACAACCCACTGCCTTGTTTCTTTCTCCTCCACACTAGTATGACGCCATCCCACTTAGCCAAAAGCCAGTGACAGCAAATAGCCCAAGGGGAAGTCATCAAATAAAAGGTTTCACTTTAAATAGCTCAGCTTGTCTTTAAAGAGATATAAACATGACAATTTTTAAGGATAGGTTTCTGACTGTAGCAGTTATCCTCTTAACTCTTAACAGTACTTATTGACACAAAAAATATAAACTGATGGATAGATTTCTCAATCAACCACATAATTTAAAATAAACAAATTGCCACTCAGCATCAGCTATCAGTATGAAAGTGTTCATGAAAAAAAGCAATTAACCTGGCCAGCTCCGTGGCTCACTTGGTTAATCCTCCACCTGTGGCACCAGCATCCCATATGGGCACCGGGTTCTAGTCCCAGCTGCTCCTCTTCCAGTCCAGCTCTCTGTTGTGGCCCAGGAGGGCAGTGGAGGATGGTCCAGGTGCTTGGGTCCCTGCATGGGAGACCAGGAAGAAGCACCTGGCTCCTGGCTTCAGATCGGCACAGCGCCAGCCATTGTGGCCATTTGGGGAGTTAACCAATGGAAAGAAGACCTTTCTCTCTGTCTATAACTCTACCTGTCAAATTAAAAAAAAAAGCTCTATGGTGCCCCTCATTTAAACCAGTTGCTTGCATGTATATATGCAGATTGACTTTTGCTAATATATGGAGAGCAATGTATTTCCCTGGCATGGAGCTCTCTGAAGAGTTTAAATGCTAATCTGTTGCTTTCATTTCATTTGCTTATCACCAGACAGCATTTATTAAATATCTATCATGAGTTTCACACTCTACAAATCTGTATTAACTATCTTGATATTTAAGGATACTTACATTTTTTTTTAAAGATGTATTTATTTGTTTGAAAGTCAGAGTTACACAAAGAGAGGAGAGAGAGAGAGAGAGAGAGAGGTCTTCCATCTGATGGTTCACTCCCCAGATGGCTGCAATGGCTGGAGCTGTGCCGATCCAAAGCCAGGAGCCAGGAGCTTCTTCCAGGTCTCCCACATGGGTGCAGGGGCCCAAGCACTTGGGCCATATTCCACTGCTTTCCCAGGCCATAGCAGAGAGCTGGACAGTAAGTGGAGCAGCCGGGTTTTGAACCAGCGCCCACATGGGATGCTTGCGCTTCAGGCCAGGGCATTAACCCAGTGCGCACAGCGCCGGCCCCATGCTTACACATTTATAACCTGAGCTAATTCTCATAACTTCCCTCTCTTGAATAGCTATGCCTTTCACATTATGCTTTTTTCACACATATGCAAATACAAAATCAACTTTAGTGTGCTACTTTAGAATTTATAAAAGGCCTTTTGTGTAAGACTTACATAACACTGAAAATCTTAGCTTCTAGGACTTGAACTTACTTGAACATGTGAAACTGGCAAAAAGGACTTGGTTTTCTCATTACAGATGAAAGAGGTGTGAAGAGACTGTTCCAATTGTTAGATTCTAGTGATCAGGCCCCAACTCTAATTAGGTCTCAGGTAGACACACATCTAGATTCTTCTTACGGTCTCTGTCAGAATTCCCAGCCTATGAGTGAAATTCAGTCTGTGAGTAAATTGTAATATCCAAGGTTCTCAGTCAAAAATGTATTGAGGTTTGTATCGATGAGATGAAGCATGTGTCTATATAATACATACATTCAATAAATAAGTACTGAATCATATGGAAGTAAAATTGGATATAGAAATACCAGGCAAAGACTTTTTTGAGATGAAGAGCATGTTTAAAAAGTGACAGTCTTACAGTTTTGCAAATATGTTTAAAATGTGACTGGAGCTCTTGTTTGGCATAGTGATCAAGCCTTCCACATCCCATTCAGAATGCTTGAGTTCAAGCCTCAGCTCTGCTTCTGATTCTAGCTTCCTGTTAATAGAACCCTGCTGGGCAGCAGGTGATGGCTCAAGTATTTGAGTCCCTACCACCTACATGGGAAGCCCTAGATTGAGTTCTTGGCTTCAGCCTGATCCAGCCCAGGTTGCTGCAGACATTTGGAGAATGAATAATGAATGTAAGAACACTCTCTGCATTTAAAATAAGTGAAAATAAATGCACAAACCTTTTTTGTAAGGCAGAGTTAGAGAGTGGGAGAGACAGAGAGCTCTTCCATCGCTGGTTCACTCCCCAGATGGCCGCAACAGCCAGGTCTGGACCAAAGCCAGGAGCCAGGAGCTTCCTCTGGGTCTCCCACGTGGGTGCAGGGGCCAAAGCACTTAGGTCATCTTGGGCTGATTTCCCAGGTGCATTAGCTTAGCAGGGAGCCGGATCAGAAGTGGAGCAGCCTGGACTGAAACCGGTGCCCATATGGGCTGCTGACGCTGCAGATGGAATCTTTTCTACGCCACAGTGCCAGCCCCACAGAACTCTGTTTTGTCTTCCTGATGTCTGAGTGGTTTTCCTTTACACCTAACTGTTCTCCCTAGTAACAACACAGATTTTGCTCTCCAAGTCAAACCTGGAGTTCTTAGTACTGGCAGCTCACCCTAAGAACATGCTGACTGGATCCAATATTCAAACACAGGTTTCATATTTTCTTCTGATAGATCTAATGCAAAGCAAGGAGAGTGTCTACAGTAACTAATGCCTTGCTGTTAACCTAACTGTACACTACAGGCCTGGGAGAGAACCACTGGAATACACACTGTCATATAGTATCCAAAATTGACTCACTTCATAGTTGAGGGACTCTGTCCTGACCAATCATTTAAGTCTGCAGGAGCAGGGAGGGGTGGTTTCTGAAGAATTTACAAATACAGCTCATTGAAGTAAGCTGCTCTCACCCCCACCGCACCCCTATACACATTGTTTTTGCCAGTTAAAAGTTTTGGTAAATTCTAAGCTGACCAGCAGTGACGGAGGAGGCAAGCCCGACTGCTTGCACTGCTGAACTCCAAGGACCCTGGTGTGTCCCAGTGCCAAGCTCACTGTGCCTCACTCTCCCTCCCTGCCCACCAGGACTCCGGGCTCCAGAGCTGACCCAAAAAGCAGGCCCAGCTCAGGTGTCGCCTTCGGACAAAATCACTGTCTCCTGCTCTCTTCCCGAAGACTGCCCGGCCCGATGTTGCAGTTCCTGGTTCGCCCGCCCACCAGCGAGGGAAGCAGAGGCACAGTGTGTTCTTTCTGGAATCCGGCTCAGCTTGCAGGCAGGGATTCGGCAGGCTGGGCAAAGAAGGGTCTGAGCCAGACTGCTCCACAGGACTGCGGCCTGGAAAAACCCATCACCCTCAGCGCCCTGCCGCTGGAGGTGTCCCACCAGACCATGTTCTAAGCCTTAGTCTCACGTGTCAGCAGCTGCCTGGCTTCCAGCCAGTCAGCGGCCTTCGCGCCCAGCGCCTGCTCAGGCTCTGCCCCTGCCGTAGGCCTCTGGCCAATCCTCGCTTTAGGAGGTGGGGCTGGCCCAGAGAGACCCCGCCCCCACGCCGGCAGGCTATAAAAGCTGTGGCGAGCTGCAGGCCGCTACTCTGTACTGAGATCAGCGAATGCTGAGTGTCGTTTTTATGGAGATTCAGCCCGACTGTGGCGGTATGGACGAGAGCGTAGGCAGTGACACCAAGAGCGTGGAAAAGCAGGAGAAGATGAAACGGTCCTTGTGAGTAGGCGCCTCTCTGTCGAGTCGGCTTGCTGTATATGGGGCACTTTGGGAAACACTGTAGCCTGAGCCTCTGCAGAAAAACCAAGCGCACGATGCTAATTTACTCAGGGAAATTACATCTACGAGGGCTGTGCTGGCTTTGTGAGTGTGGACACTCGGGAGGGCTTGGTAGGAGGAGGGTGGAGGCGCGCTGGGACCTTATGGAGCGGCCTTCTGCGTGCATCTCAGCGCAGCTGAGAACCCTGGCCGACATCGTGTGCTTCTGCTGGGTGGCGGGAAATCATTTACCTTTATTTTAAAATTATTAAGATTGATATCTAAAGTGTTCTTGTCTATTTAGATAAGAATTCTTGTTGGGAAAGTGGCGCAGTCTTATCTCTGGCGAGACCTACACCCTGACACCATCCTAGGCTCTAGCACCCACTGCCATTGCTGCAAGCCAGGCGGCCACATGGCCCAACCACTGGTGTCAGCCCCACCCCCATCCTAATGGGATTCTCTGCTCCTCCTTCCCTGCCCGCCCCCTGGCGAAGTTTTAAAAGGGCCTGTTTCTGAACACGCGGCGCTCTGTCGGCTCCGTTCTCTCACTCCCCTCTCTCCTCTCCTCTCCCCCTCTTACTTGTTTTCCTTCCTTGCCCCTCCCCTCTAGCTTGCCGGGTTTTCCCCAATAAACCCTTTACCTTACTCCGGTGTTTGGTGTGTTTTGTGGTGAACTTACATTGGTGCCGAAACCCGGGACCTTACAATTCTAAATATCGAGTTTCTGTAAATCAGACAGCGTGGTATGGCTTAGCATTTAGAGTGTGAGAGAAATACACAGGAAGGTGAAGGCTTTATTAAGAGAAAGGAATCAGAAATTTAAACCGGCAGTTGCATACCAGGCTTTTCCAGGGAGTAGGCCAGAGCCTGCAAGGGAGAGCCTGTGGGCCGGAGAGCAGCGGCAAGGCAAGTCAGCAGGCTCCAGAGGCATCCAGAAGGCCGCCCACACCAAGAGGCATGAGGTGAACAAGGGCCACGTGCAGGCCATCACGGGTCAGAGTCACGGGGAAAGGAAAAACCGTGCAGGCAGGAATGACCACAAAACCACAAGGTGCAGGCAAACAGATGAGGGGCAGCCAAAAGCTGTGCCTGGAGGCTTGGGAGAGCAAGGGTGGGCCCAGCAGGCTCCACCCTTTTTATTCAGTCCCCAAAGGGGCATGGTTAATGGTCTGAGTGGCAGGTGGGTGAATACAAGTGGGATACATAAGGGGTGGAGGCGTGGTTTTCCAGTTCATGAATCTGATTAATTTAATCCGATCTGCCTGACCATATCAAGGAAAGAGCATTTGCTGGCTGAAGATCTCGTTTTGAGTCCTTTCTCACCTTTTCATGATAAAGCTGTTCTCAGGCAGTCATGACTGTGGAACAAATCTTCCTCAAAAGAGCACTGTAGGTCGGAGGGCCAGTGTCACTCCCTATGCATGGCCTCTGGTGCATCCAGGACCATGGGTGGAAGGGGAAGGAGTGAACTGCCGCTCTTTGTGGGCCAGAATTAGCATAAGGTTTTCATTTTTTTTAAGGTTTATTTGAAAGTCGCAGTTAGGCAGAAAAAGAAGTCTTCCATCCTCTGGTTCACTCCCCTAAATGGCCACAAGCACAGGGGCTGGGCAAGGCTGGAGCCAGAAGCTCTTCAGGGTCTTTGACTGGGTGTAGGGGTCCAAGGACTTGGGCATCCTCCACTGCTTTCCTGGGTGCATTAGCAGGGAACTGGATTGAATGTGGAGCAGCCTGGACTTGAACCATTGCCAATATGGGGTGGATGGCTTAACTCATAGTACTGGGCCCCAGTATGTGCTTTTTGGGTATGCAGTATATTGAGATAATATCTTTGTGAATTTTAAGGTAGTTCCTACCTTTACTCTTAACACTAGTAGTTATAGTCTGAGAAACTAAGAAAACTATTCAGTATTTCAGTGCTGGGTTTAAATATTAGGTTGATGAGGCTGCTACTTGGTTTTGTCTCATTTGGTTTGCCTGTAGCTACTAGATAGCTTTATTGGATAAAAATACATTCAGCTGTAGTTGTGTTTTCAAGCATGGCCACTTAGTGACTTTTTTTTTAAGGTTAAAAGATTGGAAGACACGATTGAGTTCCTTCTTGCAAAATTCTTCCACTCCTGGGAAGCCCAAAACCAGCAAGAAAAGCAAACAGCAAACTTTCAGCAAGTAAGTGAGAATCCTGTGCTCACAAACCTGAACAGCTCACTGCTGAGCTGGAAAGGGGACCTGATATGTGCCCTTTTAACTGAAAACTTCTCTTGCAGGCCTTCCCCAGAGGAAGCACTGCTGTGGTCAGAAGGATTCGAGGAGCTGCTGGCCAGCAAATGTGAGTTAACCTTGAATTTGATCTACTGCAAATATTGCAAGAGTCTAGAAAGGTGTGTCTCCACAGCAAATGAGTGGCTCACAAGAGGAGGAATGGACTGAATAGTCACAGGAGCCTAGAATATCTTTTTCTCCCCTTATTTCTTAGCATATTGACTCTGAGTGGGGAAGACAAATTAGCCTTAAACAGCACAGTGGCAGTGCTCTTAGTTGAAGTTGTCCACTTTTCCATTGCATATATTGTTTACAAGACACTTGTTCCCAGAGAATTTGTGGTTCCCCTGAAGACATTTTTTTTGCATCAACAGCAAACATAAGTATTTGTTTTTATACTTAAGTATTTTGTCTACTGGCATCTTTGTCTTTCTTTAAAAAGATTTTATGTAAGTTATATAACTTTCATTTATTTCATTTGTATAGATTTTGGAACATAGTGATACTTGCCATGCTGCCCTCCCTCCCACCCATGCTCCAATTCTTCTTCCTCTCCCTCTCCCCTTCCCACTCTTTACAATGAGCTACTTTCAGTTTACTTAATGATCATACAGTTAATCCTACACTAAGTAAGAGTTCAGCAAATGGTATGAAGAAAAAAAACCCACTGTTCCTCAATGGAAGAGATGGGCTTTAAACAATCATTGAATCTCAAAATGTTCATTGCACTCTAATACATTACATTTCAGGTACTCTATAAGTTAACTCAGATCAGGGAAAACATATAGTATCTGTGTATTTGGGGACTGGCTTATTTCACTAAGTGTAATGGTTTCCAGTTGTATCCATTTTGTTGCAAAAGACAAGAATTCATTTTTTTACAGGTGACTAGTATGCCATAGTGTATATATATACACCATAATTTCTTTAGTCATTTTTCCAAACTCTATGAGTTCCAGTAGTTTCTCAGTGGGGTCACCTACAAATAGGGATAGTTTGACTTCCTCCTTTCCAATTTGTATCCCTTTGATTTCTTCTTGTTTAATGGCTCTGGCTAAACCTTCCAGTACTGTATTGAATAGCAATGGTGAGTGGGCATCCTTGTCTGGTTCTGGATCTCAGTGGAAATGCTTCCAACTTTTCCCCATTCAATAGTATGCTGGCGGGTGGCACCGTGGCTCAATAGGCTAATCCTCCACCTTGAGGCACTGGCACACCAGGTTCTAGTCCCGGTCAGGGCACCAGATTCTGTCCCAGTTGCCCCTCTTCCAGACCAGCTCTCTGCTGTGGCCAGGGAGTGCAGTGGAGGATGGCCCAAGTGCTTGGGCCCTGCACCCCATGGGAGACCAGGAGAAGTACCTGGCTCCTGCCTTAGGATCAGTGCGGTGCGCCGGCCACAGTGCAGCGGCCATTGGAGGGTGAACCAACGGCAAAGGAAGACCTTTCTCTCTGTCTCTCTCTCACTGTCCACTCTGCCTGTCAAAAAAAAAAAATAGTATGCTGGCCATGGGTTTGTTATAAATTGCCTTGATTGTGTTAGGAATGTTTCTCCCATGCCCAATTTTCTTAAGGTTTTCATCATGAAAGGATGTTATATACTATCAAATGCTTTCTCTGCATGTATTGAGATAGTCATATGGTTTTTCTTCAGTTTGTTATTGTAATGTATCACACATTGATTTGTGAATGTTGAACCACCCCTGCATACCAAGGATAAATATCACTTGTTCTGGATGAATGATCTTTTTGATGTGTTGTTGGATTCGATTGGCCAGTATTTTGTTGAGGATTTTTGCATCTGTGTTCATCAGAGAAAGAACTACAGAACAATTTCCCTGTTTCTTTTTCTTGTATAGGAATTAAGGTGACACAGGCTTCAGGAGTTTGGGAGGGTTACCTCCCTTTCAATTGCTTTGAATAACCCAAGAAGAATTGGAATTAGTTCTTTAAATATCTGGTAGAATTCAGCAATAAAGCCATCTGATCCTAGGTTTTATTTTTTATTGGGAGGCTCTTTATTACTGATTCAGTTTCCATCTTGGTTATTGGTCTGTTAAGTTTTTTATGTTTTCATGGCTCAATTTAGGTAGGTGGCTTGTGTCTAGGGATCTATTTTTTTATTTATTTGACAGGTAGAGTTATAGATAATGAGAGAGAGACCAAGAGAAAGGTCTTCCTTCCATTGGTTCACTCCCCAAATGGCTGCTATGGCTGCTGCTGCGCCAATCTGAAACCAGGAGCCAGATGCTTCTTCCTGGTCTCCCGTGCAGCTGCAGGGGCCCAAGCACTTGGGCCATCCTCCACTGCCCTCCCGGGCCACAGCAGAGAGCTGGACTGGAAGAGGAGCAACTGGGACTAGAACCCGGTGCCCATATGGGATGCTGGCACTGCAGGCAGAGGATTCACCAAGTGAGCCATGGTGCTGACCCATAGGGATCTATTCTTTTTTTCTAGTTTTCCAGGTTAGTTGGCATACAGCTCTTGATAGCTCTTTGTACCTCTATTGTTATGCTCATACCCCCACCCCCTCTCCTCCAAGCAGAGCAATGCCTAGGTGTTTCCCTGTGTTCAGTACTTATCTGTGCCACCATGTGAACCATACAAATGATCTGCACAGTCCTCACTATGAGCATAGTTCTCTAGCCGAGTGTAGTAAATTGTTCCCTATTCCAGCATCTTGGAATCCCAGCATCTTGTTCCCATCCAGCATCTTTGTCTTTAAAGATCTAAATTCTGAGGGCTGGCACCATGGCACAGTAGGTTAATCATCCACCTGCAAAGCCGGCATCCCATATGGGCTCTGGTTCTAGTCCCAGCTGCTTCTCTTCCTATCCAGCTCTCTGCTGTGGCCTGGGAAAGCAGTGGAGATGGTTCAAGTGCTTGGGCCCCTGCACGCACATGGGAGACCAGGAGGAGGCACCTAGCTCCTGGCTTTGGATCGGTGCAGCTCTGGCTGTTGCAGCCATTTGGGGAGTGAACCAATGGAAGGAAGACCTTTCTCTCTGTTTCTCCCTCTCACTGTAACTCTGCCTCTCAAATAAATAAAATATTTTTTAAAAGAGCTAAATTCTGAGGATTATGTGTTTGAATGAAATCTAGAAAATAGCTAAGTGATAATTATTTGGTTAGTCAGTTCTTCATATTCTGTGTTCTTTCTCCTCCCATCTCTTCTATCTTTATAGATGGTGTGGCTGTTTTTAGGGCCTTTTTAAAATCTCAATTCTGTGAAGAAAATATAGACTTCTGGCTGGCTTGTGAAGACTTCAAAAAAATCAAATCATCCCAGAAGCTGTCCTCAAAAGCAAAGGAAATATATATAGAATTCATAGAAAAAGATGCCCCAAAAGAGGTAAGATAAAAATACTCATTTCAGCATAATGTGGACATCCTTGGCACCAAGAGGCAGCAAAAGAATTAGACATTAGATTAAACCAGGGGTGAGGAATGGTGAAAGGATATCTTCCCTGGCATTCTGGTTTTCAACTGTGTCTGAAGACCTGGCAGGTGAAGCTCATCACATGGTACAGCTTCTTTTTGTGTTTCATTTTCAAATAGCAGAGCAATGGGTACTGAGTGATTCTCTAGGAATGAATACTGAGTAATCTGCTTTTTTGTTTTATTTCAGGTAAACATAGACTTCCAAACCAAAATCCTTATTGTCCAAAATATACAAAATGCTACAACTGGCTGTTTTACATCTGCACAGAAAAGGGTTTACAGCTTGATGGAGAATAACTCCTATCCCCATTTCTTGGCATCAGAATTCTACCAGAACTTGTGTAAAAAACCACAAATCACCACAGAGCACCATGCTATATGATTTGAAAAAGGGAGCCCCAGAGTGAGAGACATGTCTTTCTGCATCCTGAGGTAGAAGGCTGTCACCTACCAAAGAGAATGACATTGAATTCAGCCTGGTTGTTTGGGAAACATCTCTCAGAACTACTGATTCCAAGTTGGGTAGTGAATCAGGAAGCTGCTGACTATCTAGGAGAATCTTGTATCAGAATAACTTCCACTGCTCTACAGACACATGGAAAGAATATGTGGCCTGAATGTGGAGGGTCTCACTGGAAAAGCAAGAATATGAAATGGAAGATAACACAATTTATCCAAACACATGAAAAATCAATGTCTGAGATTATGTGGCCTTGGCTAGCTGGCTGTACATCTTTCCCTAAACCCGTCCATGTTACCACATAGTGGCTTTATTTTTCAGTTTTGAGTCCTAACATTAGCAGGTTTGCTCTGTGCAAGAGTATTGAAGCTCTTGTGACTCCAGATCATCCATACTATTCTTATGCATGGTTGAACCTGAAATGGTCTGTTTGAATTGCTAGATAGTTTGTGAAATAGAGTGGGTGCTCATGTGTAGAAAGCTACAGTGTCTGTTACAAGTGCCAAAAACTGTCTTGAAGGCAGCAGAAGTTTGAAGTGGTCTTTGGATATTTTAATACATTTTTTGATAAATAATGCCATTGAATGCTTGGAGTCCAGGTATGAGTTGATTTGATTTTAATAGTTGGAAATATGTCAAGCCCAAGGGGAAACATCTGTCTAGGGAAGCAGAAGCATCTGTTGCTGTGCCTGTCCTTGGAGAACTGGCATCCCCCAGAGTGATTCTCTGATTCTCAGATGAGGGTAGCAGGGAAGATACAATTTTCTAAACCTAAGTTACAGCACATCCTTAGAACCACCCTGTGTCAAGCCTCTTGGTATAATTTTTTAAAGATCAAGGTCATTAATAAGAACAATAGGACTTTGATTTAAAGCCCTTCATGAGTATTAAGAACCAACTAAATAGAAGTGAAGGGTGTGGAGACAAGCACCAATGTTAGGTTATTCAATTGCTCCAATGAAGAAAGAGCCAAATAAGGGGAACGTGGGCCTCCCTCTTTTGTCTTTTCCCACTTGGTTCTAAGCTTTCTTTGACATGTTCCATGGATCCGTATTTTGGCAAATATCTGTGACGGGCTTATCTGGGCCAGTGATCTGAAAAAGAGTAGAAGACATGGTTGTCTACTGGGGAGGAAATGGAGAGAAAAGATGGAGACTCAAACCTTATTTTCTTAGAAACAGATTTCCATATGATCATCAAGGGTAAGGTCATCATCCACAACTTGACAGACTTTACCAGATCTACCTTCAGGATGTCCCAGGCACCCTGTCCTTCTCTTACTGCAGCCACCTGCTTCCTCGCTGGTGTTGTCATTCTTCACCTGGATCTCAGAAGGCCTCAGTACCTGTGTCCTGCTTCTGACCTGTTCTTGAAAATTTATTTTAACATCATTTTTCTCATATTACATTTATGCTCAGAAAACTTGGACTCCTTGGCTCTAAAATCATGGTAAACTCTTGTGCCTAAGACTACAATTTCTCTCTAATAGCTTGGTTTGTTTTCTGCCTTGCTACTCCTATCAGCAATATTTGATACAGGCTTTTTTTATGGGGCCCAAGATAAACTATCTCCTCTTATTGATCCAATTTCCCTCCCTCTTTCTCTGCCTTTCAAGTGTATTTTTTTTAAAGTTTTTTTTTTAAACAAAATACTCTGTTCACTTGAATTTTACTCATTTGTCAAGGCTCAGATCGATTCATTTCCATGAACTATCCTCAAGGGTATATAAGTCTTCTTTCTCAAGTAAATGATCAATAACTGTACCATTCTGACATACTCTACTTCATTTTCAAAGTAATTAATAAAGTTGCAGTCTTGGAAGATATTCAGGACCCACTGCTCATTGATGATCTAATTAAATAATTGATTGGTTGAATGATGCACAAACTTTTTTTTAAAAGATTTTTTATTTGAAAAGCAGAGTTATTGAGAGGCAGGGGCAGAGAGAGAGAGAGATCTTTCATCTGCTGGTGCATTCAAAGGATGGAGCTGGGCTCAATCCAAAACCAGGAGCCTGGAGTTTCTTCCAGGTCTCCATAGTAGAGAGATGTATTTTGGAATTTGAATATCTGGGACTGGAACCAGTGCCAATAAGGGATGCTGGCACTGCAGGTGGTAGCTTTACATGCTACACCACATTGCTGGCCCCCAACAAACTCTTAATTGAAACTACATACAGTGGGGAGCCAGTACTGTGTTATAGCTGGTTAAGCCACCACCTGCAGTGCTGGCATCCCATATGAGTACAAGTTCCTTTCCCAGCTACTCCACTTCCAATCCAGCTTCCTACCAATGCCCCTGGGAAAGCAGCAGAGGATGGCCCAAGTGCTTGGGCCCCTGCACCCACATGGGAGACCTGGAAGAAGCTCCTGGCTCCTGGCTTTGGCCTGGCCCAATCCCACCCAGTGTGGTCATGTGGGGAAATGAATCAGCAGATGGAATATCTCACTCTCTCCCTCCCTCTCTCTCTTTCTCCTCTGTGTCTCTGCATTTCAAATAAATAAGTCAATCAAAAATGTGTTCTTAAAATGTAACTGAAGAAGAAGGCGCTGAGGCATAGTGAGTAAAGCCACTGCCTTCAGTGTCGGCATCCCATATGGGCACCAGTTTGAGACCCAGCTGCTCCACTTCTGATCCAGCTCTCTGCTATGGCCTGAGAAAGCAGTGGAAGATGGCCAAAGTTCTTGGGCCGCTGCTCCAAAGGAAGGAGACCTGGAAGAAGCTCCTGGCTCCTGGCTTCAGATCAGCCCAGCTCTGGCCATTATGGCCATTTTGGGGAGTGAACCAGTGGATAGAAATTCTCTATCTTTCTCTGTCTCTCTGACTTTGCCTCTCTCTAACTCCGCCTTTCAAATAATTAAAATATTTTTTAAAATGTAACTGAAAACAAATCATTTAAATATTCTAGGTGGGACTGAACAAAAATATCCATGGGGCAAGAGCTATTTTCTCATAGGGTGAACCATTGAAGGAGTAGCACTTGATTTTGTTGTGCTTGTTTAACCTCCAATGGTATCTATTCTTTCTCCTTCACATATTCACTACCATCATCAAGGCTTCATTTGTGTCATGCCAATGTTACTTCATAGTTTATGTGGGTTCTCTCATATTAGTTTCCTTTTTCCAATTCATCTTACATATGGAGTCAGATTTCTTTTTTTTTTTTCTTAAGATTTATTTATTTGAAAGTCAGAATTACACAGAGAAAAAGAGAGGCAGACAGGGAGAGAGAGGTCTTCCATTAGCTGGTTCACTCCCCAATTGGCCGCAAAAGCCAGAGCTAGGCCTATCCGAAGCCAGGATCCAGAAGCTTCTTCTGGGTCTCCCATGTGGGTGCAGAGGTCCAAGCACCTAGGCCATCTTCTACTGCTTTCCCAGGCCATAGCAGAGAGCTGGATGGGAAGTGGAACAACTGGGACTCAAACTGGCACCCATATGGGATGCCAGCAATGCAGGCAGTGGCTTTACCAGCTATGCCACTGTGCTGGCCCAAGATTTCTTTTAATAAACACCTATTTTACCATATATTGTTTTCTCTTCAAATATTTCCAAAGTACCATGGAAAGAGCACTGGATTTAAGTTAGTGAATAAGATTCTGATCATACAGCATTAACTTTCTGGTTAACCCAGTAACCATCATCCCTTGGGACCTCAAGTTACTTCATCTCTAAGGGAGTTGACTAGATCGATAAAAATGCTTCCAGCTCCAAAATTCTGTCTGGATTTGGATGTTCATTAGAATATGTCCCTACCCTGACGACTTTATTTTTTTTTTACCAAAAATATCTAACATAAAATCATGGCTTCTATCCATTTGCTGCCTTCCCGATTAGAATAAACAAAAACACCATGATTTTACTCATGATGACCTTCTGTCTGGATTGCTCCCTCTTCCCTTAATCTTCCCACATCTGACACATTCTTCAAGACTCAGCTCAACATCTTAAGGTACAACAGTTCATTAATCTCCGGCCCAACCTCAGGTTCAAAATATACTTGTTGAGTACCTACTCAAATAAGGCCCTAGTGACACCTAGAGGAAGAAAGGAAATTCCTGCCCCTGTGGAATTTACAATCCATTGGGGTCAAAGGTAATGAATAAGTCACAAAATAAAACAAGGTAGTTCTGGATTTTGACAAATGCTTGTGAGAAAAAAAAAAAAAACTAAGTGATGAGACAAAAAGACTTGACTGCCTGGGAAGGCACATTCTATATGTTTCATGAATTTTTTTAAAGGTATATTATTTATTTGAAAGACAGAGTTACAGAGAGAGGTAGAGACAGGAGGTCTTCCATCCGCTGGTTCACTCCCCAGAGGACCACAAAAGTCGGAGCTGCACCAATCTGAAGCCAGGAGCTTCTTCTGGGTCTCCCACATGGGTGCAGGGGCCCAAGGACATGGGCCATCTTCTACTGCTATCCCAGGCCATAGCAGAGAGCTGGGCCAGAAGAGGAGCAGCCAAGACTAGAACCGGCACCCATATGGGATGCCGATGCTTCAGGCCAGGGTGTTAAGCCGCTGAGCCACAGCACCAGCCCCTCCATGAATTTGTATTGACTGAACAACTAAACTCCAGACTCTGCCTTTTAATAACAAATCCTCTTTGAATAGGATAAATATAAAAGTTATTTTAGCTAGGTCACAACTTTCTCTTAGTTCCAAAATAATCTTTGTCTATAAAAATAATCTTTTAATCAAAATACAGTATGTGATATTTTAAAATTTGAAATCATTACTTTATTTACCTTTTAGAATTTATGTATGTCAAGGGAACAGATTTGATGTATTTTGTATATACAATCTTAAGAGCATAATGATATTTCTCATTCTCCCTTTCTCCTTCCCTCCCTCCATCCTTCCTTACTTTTAAGTTTTGTGCTGACATACTTTCCATTTACTTCATAATAACAAGAGTAATCCTTCAATAAATAAGGAATTCAGCCGGTGCCGTGGCTCACTAGGCTAATCCTCCACCTGCGGCACCGGCACCCCAGGTTCTAGTCCCAGTCAGGGTGCCAGATTCTGTCCCGGTTGCCCCTCTTCCAGGCCAGCTCTCCGCTATGGCCCGGGAGTGCAGTGGAGGATGGCCCAAGTCCTTGGGTCCTGCACCAGCATAGGAGACCAGGAGAAGCACCTGGCTTCAGATCAGCACGCTGTGGCAGCCATTAGAGGGTGAACCAATGGCAAAAGGAAGGCCTTTCTCTCTATCTCTCTCTCTCACTGTCCATTCTGTCAAAAAAATAAATAAGGAATTCATCAAGTTTAATGACATAAAAAAATCTCTTGAATTATTTCTGAAATCATCAAGAATAACAGGTTTATCCAACTATTGTGCCAATCTTGTGATGATACACCAGACTAATGATCAAGATAATCTTCATCCTTATGATTAAGTTTGTATTTATTTATTTTAGATATGAGAGAGATGGAGGCAGATAAAGAAAGCTCCTCCCATCCACTAGTTCATTCCTCAGTTGCCCACAAAGGCCTAGGCTGGACCAGGCCAAAAACAAGAGCTGGAAACTCCATCTGGACCTCCCACAGGGATGGCAAGGACCCACATACTTGAGTCATTATCTGCAGTCTCCCAGAGTGCGCGTTAGCAAGAACTATTTTCAAGCTCTGTCTTGAAGCACCTTGTCTACTACCAAGGGAATGATCTCACTGTTCTGTGTCAGTGTCAGTGTCAGCCTCTTGTTTGGTGCCACACCTTTAGCCCTTTGAACGCACTGTTCTTGTGCCTAAAATAGCCTTTTATCCTCTGATTGAGGTGATCTTAACATTATTCAGCTCTTTGATAAAATTGGACTTCTTCAAAACTTCACAGATGAACTCCAGGCAGGATGAATAATTTCTTCTTATCTCCTGCAGTATTTTATTCATACATCGATTATAGCATTTTATTGAAATAATATACCTCAAAGCATCACTTTCTGTACTTACTTTTTAGAGCTATCTCCTCTGTCAATAAGATTATTCAATGTCCAGTTTATTTGTTTACTGTTTTTTACACAATGTTACATGTATTTTTTCTTTAATCAGTGTTTTGCAGTTTTCAATATACATGTTCTACACATTTTTTGTTAGATTTACAAGTTATGGGTTTTTTTATGATTTATTTACTTAAAAGGCAGTCATAGAGAGAAGGAGAAGCACATGGCGCGCACACACACACACACACAGATCTTCCATCCTCTGGTTCACTTCTCAAATGGCCACATCAGCCAGGGCTGGGTCAAGTTGAAGGAAGCCAGGAGACAAGAGCTTCAGCTGGGTCTCCCATGTGTGTGCAGGGACCCAAAGACTTGGGCCATCTTCTGCTGCTTTCCAAGGCATGTTAAGTAGGAAGCTAGATTGGAAATGGAGCAGCTGGGACCTGAACAGGTGGCCACATGGGATGCCAGCATCACATGCAGTGGCATAAACTGCTGTGCTCTAAAGCTGATCCCTTTCTTCACTTGAGTGGCTAAACTTGCTATCAGACTTTTCATTTTGTTGCCTGTAATTCATTGCTGTTTTATACAAATTCTACTGTGTTTCATGTTTATCTTGTACCCTAAGACCTCACTGGATTTATTGGCTTCAGGATTTTATTTTTGTAGATTCTTGAATTTGTTGTTTTATAGAGACAATCATGTCTTTTGCAAATATAGGCAGTCAAATTTATAATTATTGCCTTAAACCCTGTCAGATAATTCCATCATCTCTGCTTTCTCATTGTTGGTATCTACTGATTGTCTGGGTTTATTCAAGTTGAGATTTGCTTCGTTCTTGGTATGACAGGTGATTTTCTGAGTCTGAGTAATTATGATGAGAACCTGCCGCTCCCTTGCCCGCAAAGGAACGACACTGTTCGCAGCTCATCGGTCTTCAGCAGACTTTTAATGGGAAAATAACAGGGACAGTGAAAGAATGAAAGGAGGAGAGTGGACAGGAAAGCCCCCTCCTTCCTCAGCACACAGCTTATATACAAAATCTGGCCAATTGCAAGCCGGCTCAAGTCCATGCACGGAACACTCCAATCCGCTGTCTGTTCACGCAGTGTGCACGCGTCCCTGGGCCAATCAGATGAGATGTCACGCAGCAGGCAGGCTCACCGCATAGTCCTCAGCGCCATCTTGTTATTTACGAGACAGGCTCAGTGCCTCTGGAAAGTCCCGGCCGTGGGAAAGCATTGCTGGAACCGAAACTAGCAGCGTCCGCCTTGCGATAAAGACACAGCAGCAGCTATCAGGCCGAACTTGACGTGGGGGCTCCATGGCTGGCCAGCCCATGGGGCCCCACAAGAACCTACATCCTATTTAGCCAAACCTATTGCACCTGGTTTGGGCTGTGCTCTTCCAACAGAAGAGGTCCTGCTTTGTTCTCAAATGGGAAATAAGTCCAGGTTCCCTGCTGGCTTATAGTTGGCCCCCAACAAGGAGGGACAATCCTTTTCCTTTTGGACAGGTGTGGAGATGCAGCTCTCTGCTGGTTTCTATGGATGGCCCTGGTTTTCAGCTTGTCTAGATTTGCAGTTTATACTCTGCTTTCAGCATTTGCTGGCCTGGGTAGAGGTCGGCAGTTATTGTTTAAACAGATCTGTCTTGGCCAGCGCTGTGGCTCACTAGGCTAATCCTCCACATGTGGCGCCGGCGCACCAGGTTCTAGTCCCGGTCGGGGTGCCAGATTCTGTCCCGGTTGCCCCTCTTCCAGGCCAGCTCTCTGCTGTGGCCAGGGAGTGCAGTAGAGGATGGCCCAAGTCCTTGGGCCCTGCACCCCATGGGAGACCAGGATAAGTACCTGGCTCCTGCCATCAGATCAGCGCAGTGCGCCGGCCGTGGTGGCCATTGGAGGGTGAAGCAACAGCAAAGGAAGACCTTTCTCTCTGTCTGTCTCTCTCTCACTGTCCACTCTGCCTGTCAAAAAATAAAATAAACAGATCTGTCTTGTGAGGCTGCCCCTTTCCTTATCATTTGGCTTAAGAAATAAAGCTTTTGTTGGGACTTTTTTGTCTTCTTCCTGGCATTTCTGAGTTACCAGTTGTTGGGTTCCAAGTCTGACATATATTAGGCCAAAGGACAAGCTAGAGAACTTTCCACCATCTCATTTCTTGGGTCCTAGTCTCTAGCTGTTTGTCCTACTTCTCTCTACCTTTCAGTCTTTTTTCTTTTTAAGGATTTATTTGTTAATTTGAAAAACAGAGTTACAGAGAGAGGGAGTGAGAGATCTCCCATCCATTGGGTCACTCTCCAAATGGCCACAACAGCCAGGGATGGGCCAAACTGAAGCCAGGAGTCAGGAGCTTCTTCCAGGTCTCCCTTGTGTGTGGCAGCGACCTATGCATTTCAGCCATCCTCTGCTGTTCTCCCAGGCATATTGGAAGGAAACTGGATCAGAAGTGGAACAGATGGGATCAGCAGGAACACAAACTAGTGCCCAGATGGGATGCCAGCATTGCAGGCAGCAGCTTAATGCACTACACCACAATGCTGACCCCTACACTTCAGACTTTTTATGTTTGTTTTCTCTATAATGTACAAACGTTTTAGTTGTATTCAGTGGAAAGAAATAGGGAAAATAGTGTGTTTTCTATTTTTCAGAAAGTGAACATCTTCTCTACCATTTTTTGCTTTTAATATTTTGATTACCATATTTACAAAAATTGGTTTCTTTCTATGCATTTATGCATCCTCTGAGAATCATCAGATAGTCATAGAAATTATAAGCTTCCCAGAGAGATTAAACTTCCCAATGGGCTGACTGCATTCCTAACCAAACTGTGTGAGTGTGAGTGTGAGTGTATGTGTGTGTGTGTCAAACTGGAGGTGGGTGGCAAGGTGATCAACTGCCTTCTACAATAGCTAAAGATGCAAAATTGGATTGACAATTATACTGGTGCCAAAAAAAAAAAAAAACAGAAAATACAGATAGAGAAGTCAAGTAAATCTCCAAGGGTGAGAGTCAGTGACCAGTGCTCCTTTTCCTCCTTAAAATTTGGGGAAATTCTGGGTCACATAACAATCTCTTTACTGTACAAATACCTTCATCTTTACCAAATTGTTATATTTTCCAATTTGAATTTTTCCTTCTGATTGTGTTCAATTTGTAGTGGATAATTTGTTTTACAAATTTAGTTATTTATTTGAAGGCAGAGTTACAGCAAGAGGGGGAGTGAGAGAGGAAGAGATCTTTCATCCTTTGGTTCATTCTTCAAATGTCCGCAGCATTGCAGAGTGGGCCAGGCCAAAGCCATTAGGCTGAACAGTGGATACTCTCTTTAATCATTAATTTAAAATAGAAAGGTTTATTGACATATGCTATGATCAAATTCAGTAAAAGAGGAGCAATAAATATTGCTATCTATACTTTTAGTTATTCTATAAGTATTATATAACTACAATACTCAATATATACTATTGTCCAATATTACAATATATAATACTAGGAATATACTATCAGAAATTACACTAGCAATATGCAATTATTATAAATAAAAATTTTAGTAACTATATTTATTCTGAACAATAATTCAGTGATTCTATTTTTAAATTTAAAAATTTCCATGTACTCAAATGATTCTTTGTAACTCCAAATAGAACCACAAGCCCTGGCAGTCCTATGTTGTTTAGCACTTCATCTTCAATGCCAACTTGATTATTACACTGTTAACAGTGCAGTAGAATTGAAGAAGACCTGACAGTCACAAAATGTTCCACAGTCATGTGAACCTTACCTTAAGGTAGGAATGTGTAGAGTAAATCATTTAAATAGAAAGACATCATTGTCGATGGCGGAATAGAGAGGGAGGGAGCACAGTGAAGGTCCACTAAGGGAAGGTTGAAAGAGGGGTGAGAATTTGTAGTTTTTAAGGATCGAGAAGCCCTTCATGAAACTGGGGAGATAGGGTGGACATGCAAGGAGGATGTGGACGCCTGAGACTCAGGACACCAGCAGGAGTGTGTACGCACCAGTGCTGGAAGCCGAGGTGAGACGGGGCACTCGCCCAGCACCACGGCACAGCTGCCGCTGCCCCTCCCCCAACACACCCTGGGACGGACACTGAGACACACATGACTGAGTGGGGGAGGAAATAGAAAACGGAACAGAGTGAGTGGCGCCTGCGGAGAGAGTGCACGATTCAGGGGTACTAATTGAGAGACTGAGTAAGCCAGTATCTCTTGGCGCCTCCCCCGAGCTCCAGCTGGCGGGAAGCAGCCATTTTGTCTGTTTACATTTGGGCTTAAAGGAGAACTGTCTTTGCCTCCACGCTAACCTTCGGAGGTGGAGCCCAAAGGTGGAGCGGAGCAACAGGACACTTCTTGCTCGAGGGAGGGCAGCTCAAAGTCCTGACACCCCTCTACTCAAGTTACAAGAAAAAAAAAAAACTGAATAGCACCTGCTGGTGGGGAAAAAGTGCAGGATGCAGAGCTGCAGTGGGCAGAGAGCAGCCATCCTGTCTGTTTACCTGTGGGCTGTGTAGAGCAGCCTGATTACACTGGATATCGGTAGAGACTCACAGCAGCCTATAGTAGAGGGAAATCAACCTGAAAAATCACCCAGATGGAATGCCAAAAAGACAAAACAAAAACCCGAAAAAATATAGAAGAACATATAAACTTGCCAATGGAGCAGGCTAAACCAACCATAACAGAGGCAGAAGAAGAAGAAGTTGAAAACATGCCAGAAAAAGAATTCAGAAAATTAATAATCAGAATACTTAGAAATAATGAGAAACAGTGTCAAGAGCTGAATGAAAAACAAGCTCAGGGATTAGAGATCCTAAAGAGAAGCCAGAATGAGATACTAGAACTGAAAAACTCAATTGACCATATAAAAAACACCGTGGAATCCCTCAGAAATCGAACAGATGAAATAGAAGACCGAATATCAGAATTCGAAGACAAACTTCCAGAAATAATACAGTCAGTTCAATCGCAGGAAGAAGAAATTAAAAAATTAAAAAATACGGTTGGAGACCTACAAGATTCAATCAAGCGGTGTAATGTTCAGATAATAGGAGTCCCTGATGGGGTGGAAAGAGAGAATGGATTAGAAGGCGTCTTCAACGAAAAAATATCAGAAAACTTTAAACAAAGGCAGCTGGATAACAACACACAAATACAACAGATAGCCAGGACTCCGAACAGAGTAGACCAGAAGAGAAATTCACCACGACACATTGTGGCAACACTCAGTTCAGTGACACACAAAGAACAAATCCTAAAATGTGCCAGAGAAAAGCAACAACAAATCACATTCAGGGGTAAGTAAATCAGACTCACCCCAGACTTCTCATCGCAAACACTACAGGCAAGGAGACAATGGCATGATATATTTCAAGTTTTAAAAGACAAACAGTGCCAACCTAGAATACTACATCCTGCAAAGCTATCATTTATGAATGAAGGGGAAATAAAGATCTTCCACGACAAACAGAAACTGAAAGAATTTGTATCCACGCATCCAACCCTACAACACTTGCTCAAAGACGTGCTGCACACAGAAATACAAAAACAAGAACTTCACTGCAAAAAAAAGTGATGTAGAGTAACCCACAAAGTTCAAAATACATAAACAGCTCATTTCAGGAAACATGAAGGGGAAAAGACAGTACTTAACAGTAATCACATTGAATGTGAATGGTCTTAATTCCACGACAAAGAGACATGGACTAGCTGATTGGATAAAGAAAGAGAATCCATCTATATGCTGCCTTCAGGAGACACACCTCATCAGCAAAGATGCACGCAGACTGAAAGTGAAAAGATGGACAAAGATACTCCAAGCTAATGGAAATCAAAAAAGAGCTGGTGTGGCCATTCTAATATCAGACAAAACAGACTTTAACATAAAAACTATTAAAAGAGACAGAGAAGGGCACTATATAATGATTAAAGGATCTATCCAACAGGAAAATATTACTATTATAAATGTATACACACCTAATTACAGGGCGCCTGGCTACCTGAAAAAATTACTAAAGGATTTAAAGGGAGCCCAGGACCGGATGGCTTCACTGCCGAATTTTACCAGACATTTAGAGAACAACTAACCCCAGTTCTTCTCAAATTATTCCAAAAGATTGAAAGAGAGGGAATCCTTCCAAATTCCTTCTATGAAGCCAATATCACCTTAATTCCTAAGCCCAGAAAAGACACAACAGAGAAAGAAAACTACAGACCTATCTCCCTGATGAACATAGATGCAAAAATACTCAATAAAATCCTGGCAAACCGAATCCAACTACAAATTAGAAAGATCATTCACCCAGACCAAGTGGGATTTATCCCTGGTATGCAGGGATGGTTCAATATTCGAAAGTCAATCAATGTAATACATCACATTAATAAATTGAGAAACAAAAATCATATGGTTATCTCAATAGATGCAGAGAAAGCATTTGACAAAATACAACACCCTTTCATGATGAAAACCCTAAGCAAATTGGGGTTAGAAGGAACATTCCTCAACACAATTAAGACAGTCTATGATAAACCAAAGGCCAGCATCATATTGAATGGGGAAAAGTTGGAGGCATTTCCATTGAGAACTGGCACCAGACAGGGATGCCCACTCTCACCATTGCTATTCAATAGAGTCCTAGAAGTCTTAGCCAGAGCCATCAGGCAAGAAAAAGAAATTAAAGGGATACAAATGGGAAAGGAGGAAGTTAAACTATCCCTTTTTGCAGATGACATGATACTATATATAGGGGACCCAATAAGCTCCTATAAGAGACTACTGGAACTCATAGAAGAGTTTGGTAAAGTAGCAGGATACAAAATCAATGCTCAGAAATCAACAGCCTTTGTATACACAGAAAATGCCAGGGCCAAGGAAGAACTACTAAGATCAATCCCATTCATGATAGCCACAAAAACAATAAAGTACCTTGGAATAAATTTAACCAAGGAGCTCAAAGACCTCTATGATGAAAATTACAAAACACTAAAGAAAGAAATAGAAGATGACACAAAAAAATGGAAAAACCTGCCATGCTCATGGATTGGAAGAATCAATATCATCAAAATGTCCATTCTCCCAAAAGCAATTTACAAGTTCAATGCAATACCAATCAAAATACCAAAGTTATTCTTCAAAGACCTAGAAAAAAGATGCTGAAATTCATATGGAGAAACAGGAGACCCAGAATAGCTAAAGCAATCCTTAACAATAAAAACAAGGCCGGAGGCATCACAATTCCAGACTTCAAGGCATACTACAGGGCAGTTATAATCAAAACAGCCTGGTACTGGTACAAAAACAGATGGATAGACCAATGGAACAGAATAGAAACACCGGAGATCAATCCAAACATCTATAACCAACTCATATTCGACAAAGGACCTAAAACCAACCCCTGGAACAAGGACAGCCTCTTCAACAAATGGTGCTGGGAAAACTGGATGTCCACATGTCGCAGTATGAAGGAAGACCCCTACCTTACACCTTATACAAAAATCCACTCAACATGGATCAAAGAACTAGAGTTGCGCCACGACACCCTGAAACTAATTGAGAGCATAGGGGAAACCTTTCAAGATATCGGAATAGGCGAAGAATTCCTGGAGAAGACCCCACAGGCACGGGTAATCAAAGATAAAATAAACAAATGGGATTACCTCAAATTGAAGAGTTTCCTAACAGCAAAGGAAACAGTCAGGAAAGCGAAGAGGCAACCAACAGAATGGGAGATGTTATTCGCAAACCACACAACAGATAAAGGATTAACAACTAGAATCTACACAATGATCAAAAAACACCACAGAATCAAAACAAACAACCCAATAAAAAAAATGGGCCAAGGACCTTAACAGACATTTTTCAAAAGAGAAAATCCAAATGGCCAACAGGCACATGAAAAAATGCTCAGGATCCCTAGCCATCAGGGAAATGCAGATCAAAACCACAATGAAATACCACCTCACTCTGGTTAGATTGGCTTACATACAGAAATCAACCAACAACAGATGCTGGTGAGGATGTGGAGAAAAGGGGACACTAATCCACTGTTGGGAATGCAAACTGGTAAAGCCACTATGGAAGACAGTCTGGAGAGTCCTCAGAAACCTGAATATAGCACTACCACAGGACCCAGCCATCCCACTCCTTGGAAGATACCCAAATGGAATTAAAGGGGTGAAAAAAGCCATTTGCACCTCAATATTTGTTGCAGCTCAATTCACAATAGCTAAGACATGGAATCAACCTAAATGTCCATCAACGGATGACTGGATAAAGAAACTATGGGATATCTACTCTATGGAACACTATACAGCAGTAAAAAAACAATGAAATCCAGGCATTTACAACAAAATGGAGGAAGCTGGAAAACATCATGCTGAGTGAAATAAGCCAGTCCAAAAGG